AGCCCTTATCTAAGCCCTATAAAGCTTTAAAACACTAAATTGTTTCCAGTAAACATTACACAGATGCCTACTCCCAGGCCAAAGGAAAAATGGGTTTCTACTCAAGGTCTGGTGTCCCCACAACCAAGTTACGAGTTTTTTTTTTTTTTAGACACAGGATGGCACTGTATCTCACATCAACAAAACAAATAAACAAAAAAACAAGGTACTTACAAAACTGTTTTCCCAAGAGATTATACAATTTCACATCCCTGCCGGTAATGTGTGATTTCCAACTAATCCAAAATTGGTGCTCTCTCTCTCTCTCTGTCTCTCTCTCTCTCTCTCTCTCTCTCTCTCTCTGTCTGTCTCTCTCCCTCTCTCTATGTCTGTCTCTGTCTGTCTGTCTCTCTGTTTCTGTCTCTCTTAAAATTTAACCTAGCCTGCTGAATGCATGTGGAACCTCAATTGCTTTTGGTTTGAAATAGCCTGACGACTAAGGATGTTGAACAGCTCTCCCATCTTTATGAACACAGACACACAGACACACAGACACACACACAGACACACACACAGAGACACACACACAGAGACACACACACACAGACACACACACACATACACACACACACACACACACACACACACGCTTGAATTATAAGAGGGCTCTATAGAAGCTAGATTAAACTCTTGTTAGACGCATGTACTAGGCAGTTCTCTTCTGCTCTGTAACTTGCCTTTTCACTTGTTTCTAGATGTTGCTTTACACAGACCAATAGTTTTAAGTTTAAATATTCCATGTTAGCCTTATTTTCTGGCTATGACAACTTCCCACTGGAACACACATCCTTTCACAGCTCTCTGATAGCCTGAGAGCTGCATGGGAGAGTGAGTGTGTGTGTGTGTGTGTGTACATCTGTGTACAAGGGCATATACATGTGGTTTTTACCTTAAAATAATTCGCACCCCTGGGCATAGTGGCACGCATCTTTAATCCCGGCACTCGGGAGGCAGAGGTAGGCAGATGTCTGTAAATAAAATTTTTTTTTAAAAAGAGGGAAAAGAAAACGCTACCTTTTGTGTAAGTTAATTATTAATATCTAAGTAGTTAGCACTCAAAGTACTGTAAATGGAGTTTGTAAGCTAGCACCTGAGGTACTTTTCACTGGTGGACTGGAGAGTCCTAAAGATCTACGAATGAACTTCAAAATGGAGCTGGCACCCTTCCCTCCCTAACAGGGCCCAAGAATCACCTCCTTCAACCTTAGCCCCCACCCTACCCCATTAAGCTGGAAGGACAAGGCCTGCAGCCTCAGGGTCAATGAAAGGAGCAGGGAGAGACACACCCAGCTCCTTCTGGTAGCAATGACTGTCTCACTTTCTGATTCATCTTATGTCACACCCACACCTTCATCTCAACTGTCCTGCTGGACATGTTTTTTTTTTTTAATTTAACTAATGCTAGCCTCTTCCTGAAGACCTGAAGGTCAAGACTGATCCAACAGGAGAGGACCTGTTCTGTCAAATGCAGATCCCAAGGTTCTGTCTTTAAAGGCCTTGCTTCTCCAAGTCTACCTCAGACTTGGAATCCCCTAGCTCCTTTGCTGCTGTTAAACCTGAGAATCACGAAAAGAAAGGCCAGTTCCACAATTTTTTTTTGAGCCAAATTTGAAGCAAACGTTAACTAAATGCTAGCCAGGATGATGGACTTAAGGCAGGACCATTCAGGGGGTTCCCAGAATATGGTGAGGAGTTGTATTTTGCAGAGACTTTAAAAGGCAGACCCAACCCATAAGGCCGTGGTATTTCCAAACAGGTCTAATCAGGGGCAAGCATATAGTCTGACATACTTCCTTCTTGCTTATCTCCCACCTACATACAATCAGGGGCAAAGCATACATATTGACATATTTCCTGCCCATCCACCTACGTGTGGCCCAGCACGTGGGTACAGTTGAATCAAACAGACTCGTTCAGGGAAGAGAAAACGTGTGGCTTGTTATCTCCCATAAACAACAGCCTCCGGCATCTCAGGATCTGTCCTTGGATGAGTTCCTTTGACAGGCTAGAGGCATTTTTGTTGTTGTTGTTGTTGTTGTTGTTTGATGGATCTCTTAGGCACAGTAATTAAAACTTAAAAAGAAACGTAACTTTGGTTTTCAGAATGCCCACTGAGATGATCAAAGAAATAAATCTGTGGTCTGAGAACCCCCCCCCCGGATGCCCCGAGGTTCTATTTTCTTCAACGCAGAGTCAAGACCTAGGTCTCCCTCCCCCACAAGGCGTCTCAGGTTGAGTGACAAAGAAACTTGAAGGAAGCTTGTCCATGCCCCACTGCTACTCTTCTTGACCTTGTGAAAAGATCCTTTTGAATCTCTAGCCGCCATCTCCCCGTCCTCTGGATTTCCCCTACTACTGACCTCAAGGTTCAAGCAAAGATAATCCCTGCTTCCCCAGTCAAGCAAGGCCAGCTTCTTGGACACCTCCAGGAACCAGGGAGGGTAGGGTTTCTCTTCCTGCAGAGACACTGGGTTAGAGGAATCCAAGCCAGGACTGCCTTTAGGTGAGACAGACATCCCACCAGAGGACAAACACTGAGAACGACAGCTTTGGGGACCCTGGCAAATGAGCTCCTACTTCTCTTGGGTTTAAGTAAGTTTGAGCTGCAGCTCTTTGCAAGTGGGAGTCCTGATCCGTACATGGCATCAACTTCTCACACGAAGATCTCTAAATCCTCTCTCCTCTTGCCCCTGTACTGTTCTACACATTTCTAGGCTCCCGTGAAATTCCTCTGCACACCATTGTCCACACAGAATATCACTTCCTTGCAGCTGAAATTCTAAGGACCATTTCCCACACCCTTGTACACAGGGATCTCGCTTAAGGCCAGGTCCTGCTCACCTTTCTGGCCACCCTTTAGGAGGAGAAAACAGCCCTTTTCTTCTGAGATTTCATGTTACAGTATCAGTGATTTTCCCTTTTTTTTTTTAACAGACTTCCTGATTACTTAAGACTGACACCTGTTTTATAGTCTCTCCATCCACCCCAGCTCTGTCCTGGTCTTCTGTCTTGCAGTTTAACAGCCTGCAGTCAGTTTCATGTTGTGCTAAGCAGTAAGCACAAGCCTCAGTACTTTATACTTTTAGCGCAGCAGCTCAAACCTTTGGCCTGGGGTGATACTGTCTCCAGGTTACAGGGGAAAGGGGGAAGGGGAGGGGCTTGGGAAAGCTAAATAAACTGCCCTGGAGTAACCCAGCTAAGTGGGCAAGCAGACAGGAGAGACCAGACGGCAAAGCCGGGACTCTTGACACATTCTCTGACCTCCCAGTTCCTTATTCTCTATGTTTGCAACATAATTCACAGTTACCCCGTGCTGGACGGGTGCCAGGGAGTCTGGGGGGCATCTGAGGGTCTCTGCGGAGGTGTCAGCTAAGGGAGGGACCAAGGTCCTACAGATCAGTGATTTCAGTGGCCTTGCTAGGCAGATTCACCAACTGCTAAACAGCCAGGAAGCCGGGAGTGTAGCTGGACTGAATAGACCAGCTGGAAAGCATGTGCTGTAGACTTTCTGCTCATCAGCTCAGGGGTCCTCAGAGGGAAGGCTACAGCCTTCGGGGCAGCACCCACCCTCGGTCTGGGGCTGTGTTCAGAAGGCTCCCTTCTTGTCCGCATCCTCGCTCACGACTTGCATTCCTCAAGGCCTCTAAAAGCTTTGCACACCTGGTTCGAAAGTTCTGGTTTTCTTCTAGTGCTGAACAAAGGTGGCGGAGGTGGTGGGGAGTGGCATTGAGACAGGGACACGGCGTCACCACCTCCAGGTCTTCACCTCTGGGTGCGTTATTTATCTAGACCTACTCAGCTCTGAAAAGGCAGCCTTGGCCACATCCTCCCAGCACGCTGGCTCTGTCCAGTCTCCACCTCAGCTTCGGGCCTCACAAAGCCACCCTAACAATGCCTTAGCTTCCCTCCTGCACATCACCCCAGTTATCACCGACAAACACTCTTCCTGGCGTCTCCCGAGGCAGGACGCGTGTGTACACCGTCATTGTAAACACAAGGCGGACAGATTCAGCAGGGCCCCCGGCATGGCCACCGCGCAAGCTTAATTAGCGCTCGCTCACGACGGCTATAATTAGAACCGTTTATGGAGTGCTTCCTTATGGGCCCAGCGCTGTCCCCGTCGGTTCTCAAGCCCTTAAATCCTTGGAGACAACGCTGTGAACCAGACAAGCCGCCGGGGTTCATGAGGCCCGCGTGCGCACCGGGCACAAAAACAAGGGCGCCCAGAGGGCCGGGTCCCTCTCCAGCAGCAGGCTCACCTGCGAAAGCTAAAGAACAGGAAGCTGGGGAGAGAGAGAGAGACCGGGGACCGGGGGAGTCTGCAGAGAGGGAGGGAGGGCGCGCACGGAGACACTTCCTAGTCATCGTTACTCAGCACTTTGAGGCGACCCGCGCGCGGCATTCCCGCCCTGCTCGAAGGATACACGTCTGCCTGGGCAGTCCCCAGCCCCAGTCTGCAAGTGTCCGACTTAGGTCCATTTAGGGCCTGGCCTAGGAGGACTCCAGACTGTGAGTGGGGACTACGATCAACCTCCCTACGCGGTGCACAGCGAAAACGCCCTTAGAGACCGCCGGGCGCACGCTCGCCTGCCACAGCGCAAGCGCAGGGCGGGTTCCGGGAGCCCGGAGAGGCTCCAGGCGCCGGCGCTGGCCCCGCCCCCTGCAAACCAAGGTTCCGCCCCATCGGCCGCGCAGAGGGCGGGGCCATCGCTAGGGCGGGTCCCGGAGCTGCTCCAGCCGCCGGCTGTGGCTCCGCCCCCCGGCAACCTGCTTTTCGCTCCACCTCTTGGGGGCGTGGCCTGGCCCTGGCCCGGCCGTGGCGGCTGGGCGAGCGCGGGAGGCTCCGGGGGGCGCGCGTCCCCGCCGCCCGCGCCCGCGCTCCCCGCCCCGCCCCGCCGTGCTCCGCCCTGTGGCTATAAAGAGAAGGCGGGCGGCCGCGGTCGGCCAGCGAGCTCCGGCAGGCGTCCCTGGGATCCGTTTCCATCCGATCCTACCGACGCTCGTGTGGTTCCCTCCCCGCGACAGGCCACCATGGTGAAGCTGATCGAGAGCAAGGTACGCGTGCCCCGGGCGCCGCGGGCGGCGGAGGCCGCCCCTCTGCATCCCGGTTCGGGGGCGGCCCCGGGGGCTTGTAGAGCGCGCCTGGGGGAGGGGACGGGAGACCCTGGGACGCCGGGGACGGGAGGCGCAGCGCCGGAAGCGGGGGTGGTCCCCCGATCTGGCTTCCTCCTGCAGTCTGCAGCCCTCTCCTTACCTCCGCCAGCTCACATCTGGCGGAGGGGAAAGAAACGGTCGAGGGGGCCCTCCGGGGAGCCCTCGTCTGGGTCCGGGATTCGGAGTCTCGGGGGGGAGGAAAGGCAGAGCCGCGACTCCGCGCGTGGCCAGTGGCGTGCACAGCGCGGGGTGTGCTGTGCCGCAGGGGCTAGGCCCGAGTTGGCCGCCTGGAGAACCAGGGCCCGGTGGGTGCACGGGGGTGGGGTGGGGTGGGGGGCCGGTTACCTGCTGGAGACCCTCGTGCGGGTGCTCCATGTGAAGACTACTAGGAAGGAGAAAGGTCCAGGCCCCGCCCGTGGGACTCCCTCCTCCTCCTCCTGCTGCAGCAGCTCAGGGCGTGTTTCCGGCAGCCCTGGCTTTGGGATGACTCAGTCCCCAATGTCTGGGCCCAGGGGCCTCGCTACGCTGAGGTTTCGGTGTTTTCACCCCCACGGTTAAGTGGGCTTTGCAGGAACCGGGGCTCTGCTCTCTCTGCCCTGGGAGCAGTCCACTACCACCAAGTCCCGGTTTTGCCCCTTGGGAAAAGAAAAAAAAAATACCTAAGGGAAAAACTGTTGCCATATTTGAAAGTTACTGAGAACCAAAATAACCTCCGGATTGGGAAAGCCAGAGCCTGTTACACTGTAACTACTCGGGGAATATGTGGGAAGTGAAGGGGGGGCGGTGGTGGGACTTGTTAACCTAGCTAACTGGGGGAGCCCGAGGAAGGCAGGTCTACGCCTCCACAGTTAGGAGCAATAGGGCCTGGTTGGGTCTCAGTACACGAGTTTGCTCAGAATCCACCCACTACCAGTCATTTTAGACCCAGCACCCAATTGGGTCCTTACCTGTTGAAACTGCCTTAACTTATGGGACCTTTGCCATTCCTGTAGAAAAGGCGTGCATTGGGGACTGGGAACCGGTTATTCATAAAAAAGGCTTGGGCCCCAAAGGCCTATTAACAAGGCTCTCTGATCAGAGTCACCCCGAATCAGAGGCTAATTGAATACACCTAGGGTTAATCTGATGGGCTTAATTTGGTCGGTCTAACCCTGCGAGATAGCTATGTTTTTGAGAACTGTATGGTGAGTTAAGGGACACTGGGGTCTTTTTCCAGACAGGAGTGGAGTGATAGGCTAAAAAATCAACAGTTGGTTTAAGACTAAAAATTTTTTTATTGAACTGCACACAAGGCATGCTGCTCAGTGCTTTACAGACCACTATGCTAGACCGGGTGTTGGCTCATGCCTCTAATCACTAGCATTCAGGAAGCTGAGGCAGGAGGATCACCACCGCCCTGTCCTGGGCTACAGAGTGAAACCCATCTCAAAAAGCAAAGAACACTTTGTATTATTAACTTTTGGTCTGGGCATGGTTTTTGTGTTTGGGGCCTTTTGTTTTGTTTTATATTTATGTGTAGGGATGGGGCATTTCACTTGTGGAGATCAGAGGACAACTTGGGAGGGCTGGCTCTCTTCTATCTTGGGGATCCTGGGTATTGAACTCAGTTCCCTTTGTGTCAAGCACCTTAATCTGCTGAGTCATGTTGCCAACCCCTGAGCTGGGTATGTTTGAGAAGAGGGATCATAGCAACGGCTTCTAACTACTCCCTAACTGTTTTCTTAGATATTGGTGTCAGTGATAGAACCATTTCCTAATTGTGATTGGTTGATATTTACTGGAGCTAAGATTTGTAATTTGCCTCTTAGACAAGCCAGTTCAGGCAAGCTTACACATCTGGAGAAGAGAACTTGTTTGTGAAGTTTGCACATCACTAACCAGAAACTAGGAGTGCAAGCCCCTCTTTCTTCAGAGTTTTTAAGTAGCTTTACCTGAATTAGATTCATAGCCGTTGGGTGGCGCCGGGACCTTGAGAGTGTTTGAAATGCAGTCCGTCCTGCTTTTTATGTAATCTCATCAAATTTTTATTGAGGATCAGCCGTGTTCCAGTTGGGGGTGTTGTCAGACCAGCCTGCCGTACCGTCTTGCCCCGTGTCCTGCAGTAAAGAATGGGTGGCGTGGCCTTTCTAAACATGTAAGGGGAGGTTTTGTATGGATTTTATCTGACAACAACCAGTGGTGGCTTGGAAAAAGGTGGGTTTCCCATTACTCTGCACTGTGGTCCCACCTCCTGACCCTAGAGCTTAGGTGTCTTGACACCCAGACATGGGCGGATAGACCTGTATGAGCTAGGCCAATCTCTGTAGACGGTGTCATGCCATTCTGTGTGCTGTTCTCAGAAATGATTATTATTCTTGAAAAATATGAGCTAGAAATTAAAAGCCAGGAAAGTAAGTGTGCTCGGGGCTGAAGAGAGAAAACTCAGAGAATAAGGGCACGGGCAGTTCTTTTAGGAGGACAGGTGTTCCATTCCCAGCACCCGAGTGGTGGTTCCAGATCATCTGTGACTCAGGTTCCAGTGTATCTTCTGGCATCTGAAGGCACCAGGCACACAAGTGATGTACATAGATACATGCAGATAAAAACACCAGTGCATGTAAAAAAAAAAGTTTTAAAACATTTAAAGTGGCTATACTCTGAAAACTCACTAGGTTTGTTTGGGTGTGTAAATATGTTTTAGCTTTACAGTGTTGTAAATACTTTTCCTTTGTTGGGCCAGATCTAATATGGTTCTTAATTTGTATTTATTTAGTTGTTTATTTATTTTGAGGCAGGGTTTCTGTGTGTGGCCTTAGCTGTTCTGAAACTTACTACTCTGTAGACTAGTCTGGCCTCTGCCTCCCTAGTGCTGGATTTAAAGGCCTATGCCACCACTGCCAGGTTATCTTAGTTTTTGATAACTAGTTTGACCAACATTTTCTTTCCTGGAGGAAATGTTGACTTCAGATATAGCTGTTTGTGTTTTGTTTTTTTATTCTTTGCTTCACCAGTTTTGGTTTTAGGCAGCATCAAGTGACTGACAGTTTAAATGAGTCCCTAGTAACTAGAATGTTAGGTTCCTAGGGTTACAGTATCAAGGCTTTTGGTAAATAATTCAGGGAGGTTGGTGGTGAGGGGTTTGTTTTGTTTTTGCTGGGACTTGCATGTGACAGGTGTTACTTCAGCAAAACAGCCAAAGAAAAATTTCTTCTTGAGGAACTAAAACTTGGATTACTGTAAAGAACAGTACATTTTGATTCATAGGGCAAAAGTCAAGGGTTAAGAAGCAGTGTGATCCCAACTCTAGGAGCGCTGTTTAAATTAAGCACACAGAAGGAGCTGGAGAGCTGCCATAGCTGCTAAGAGTTCTTCTACTCTCCCAGACGACCCTGGCTCAGTACCCACTACCCACGGCTCCAGCTCTGGGGGTCTCATGCCTTCTTAGGGCCTCTGTACCGATAGACAGACACACATCACACACATACATACATACGCACGCATGCACACGTGCGCCAAGCACACAAAATCTGTTTATGCGATGATGACCTGAGTAGGAGTTCTGTCTCCTGGACTCTGTCATGGGGTGGGGATCTTTTCCCATGTTTCACCCTAGACAATTTCTTTTATTTCCCTGTTGGTTAAGACATCTTGTGACTTGTCCGTTACTTAACTGTGTCTTGAGGGTTCTCCAGTCTTGGAGGCTCCTTCCATCAACCCCAAGAATTCAGGGTCTAGCATGGAACTAAGTTCAATGTGAAACCAGCTTTAGTACGAATGCCTGCTTCCTTTTTGTTTGTTGAGTGTTGGTGTGAAGGGGTTTCGTGTTGGGGATGTAACCCCGGGGCAGGGCGCTGGCCTAGATTAGTCAGTTCATGGTATTTTGTAAGTTCATCTTGTGTCAGCAGTGTGCAAGGTTCCTTTGAATGAAAAGCAAGCCCCAAGAGCAGGAACTCTTGAATTGTCCTTCACATCTCTGTGTTTGTTTGTTGCTTAGAGGTCTTTGGGGTCCCGGAGGGAGGGGGGATCTCACTGGCTGGCCTGAAACTGGCCAGTGTAGACCAAGTTGTCCCCACCTCTAAAGACCCACCCACCCACCTCTGCCTCCTGAGTGAGTACTGGGTTTTAAAGGCATGTGTCACACCTGGCCAGGTCCTGAATGAAAAGTGAAAGTCTGTGACACTTAAGGTGTTCCTTCTCCCTCCTCAGGAAGCTTTTCAGGAGGCCCTGGCGGCTGCGGGAGACAAGCTTGTAGTCGTGGACTTCTCGGCCACGTGGTGCGGACCGTGCAAAATGATCAAACCCTTCTTTCATGTGAGTATAGGAGGGCTGGGCTTGAAGGCTGGCTGGTGGTCAGAAGCTGGGGTGAAAGGATTGATAGGGAACAGGGCTGGGGTGGTGCGGGCTGTGCTTCTGTTTTCCCGTGTCATTAGCCTAAAAGTAGTAGCATTAACAGCTCAACCTGATAAAGCTCGCTGAAGACAACTTCTGGGAGTTGATTCCATTTATCTTGAGTAATTTTGTTCTTTTACATTTGAAATTTGGGCCTCAAAGTTATGGTGCCAAATTATTTTACCCTTGAGAACATTTTGACTCAGAGATACCTTTGTCCCTGATGCTTACTTAGTCTCTAAGCAGAAGTCTTGCGGCCTGGCTGGGTAGCCTGCCATGCAGGCCTGGCCTGAGTTGAGTTCTTGAAACCCACACTGGGAAGAGATAACTGCTCCCAAAAGTTGTCCTGGGACTTCCTTGTGGATGCTATGGCCCATGCACAGACATAAAGTAATAACGTAGTAAGTAGAAAGGACTTTTAAAAGGAATAAAAATGTAAATATTTAGTATGTAGAACTGCAGAGATGCCCCCTTGTGAAGAGCACTGGCTGCCTTTCCAGGTGACCTAGGTTTGGTTCCCAGCACCCAAAGGGAGGGTCAAAACTTTCTGTAACTCTAGTTCCAGGGCAGCCGGCGCCCTCTTCTGGCCTCTGCAGGCACATATACGTAAAATAAAAGTCAAGTCTCTGATCTCTATGACATTTCTCTTGAAGAAGCTCAGCTGTGTTGACTGCCATTATCATCAGGTTCTAACGCTTTTGGTTCACTTTTTAATTTTCCAGTCCCTCTCTGAAAAGTACTCCAGTGTCGTGTTCCTTGAAGTAGATGTGGATGACTGCCAGGTACGTAGTGAGAAATTGGACGCTGCCAAGCATTTCAGAGTAGTCTGTCCGCTGAAGGCTACCCTGTTCTGTAAAAATGGGGGGTAATACTAGAAGTAGAACTCTGTCTGAGAAGTTCTGTTTTGGAAGAACAGAGTGTGTCCCAGCTATGGGTTTAATCCTAGGGGTGTGTGTGTGTGTGTGTGTGTGTGTGTGTGTGTGTGTGTGTGTGTGTGTGTGTGTGTGTGTGTGTGTGTGTGTGTGTGTGTGTGTGTGCGCGCGCGCGCGCAGTAGCTCTCAAGTGACTCAGTGGTGCCTAGGTCTGCATCCTACCCCCCACTGTGAGATGATCTATGGGTACGAGTGAGCCTTGGCTCTCATCAATCGTGAAGCCATGAGATGCTCTGAACTTCCTGCTGCATGGGAACTGTATTCGAAGGCTTGTTGTAGTGCTGCCTGGTTTGAATCCATGAGAGAGCCCTGGCGCCTTGGAAAACTTGAGGGGACAGACGGTCCAGGCCTGGTTTTATTGAGCACTCAGAGAGCTGAGTTCTGTGTGCTCTCGACGAGTTAATATTGTTAGCACCTACCCACTCCCCCATCGGTACTGTTGTAGGCGTGGGAGAGCCGAAACAGAAAGGAGTTGGTTTGGAGTTGCGTGGAGCCCCTCGGCAGAGCCAGTATTTAAAACGAGGCAGCAGAACTCCTCTACCCTCGCTCTTACCTCCTCCTCCCCTCCCCCATACACACACCACCATTTGGGTTCTTAGTATATGACCTTTCCTCTCTCCGGCCACTGGCCTGGAAAGACCTGCTTGGGGGTGGAGCACCAGGGCTCCTGAGGGATGCATGAGCACTTTTACCTGCCCCGTGGGGCAGGAAGAGGCGGCCACATTGGGCTGGACTCCAGTTCTGCCTTGCTGGCTTCTGCTCTGCACTCACTAATCTCCCTCCTTCTCAACTCTTGTTCTCCGTCTGTGATCAGATCTCCGTACCCGGCCGCCAGCCTGGCAAAGGCTCCCAGTGTGCTTTGTTTTTGGTTTTTTTTCTCGGCACGCTTTCTGCTCTGTCTTCATGTGTGCTGTCTCCTCCGGACTGTCCTTTCCCGTCTGATGGAGCCCTAATCATAAGCCCCGCCTCTTCCTCATCCTCCCGTCTCCCTGTGCTGCTTTCATGCCACGCTTTAGGCGTGTTTCCCTTCCTTGGGTCACATGATCGTCTTTGCCTGCCCATCCTCCCCAGCCTGTGGCGGTAAGAAGGAATGGATTCTGTGCTGCTGGCTGCCTTTCTGCATTAACAGTGGGGCTTGATCAAGTTACTTGTCTGTGCCCCCTCTCATCCTCTATAAATGGTCCGGCATCACCAGTTGGGTGGCTATCCAGATTGAGAAAGACCATAATTACGAAGCCTTTGGGGTGCCTGGCTCCTAAATACTGGGTGAAACATGGCTGCTTTTATAGGTAGTGAGCAGCCACCATCCAGAGTGCTCCGGAATCCAAACTGTTTTTGAAGGATGGGATCAACCAGGGAAAGTTTCAGATTTTCTTTGTTGCTTTTTTTTTTTTTTCTTTTAATGGACCAAATACTGCAAAATCTAAAAACCCTGACACACAACCTGGCCCCAAACATTTTGACTGAGGGGTACGGAAGTATAACATCTCTTTGTCATTAGTCTTTGTAAAGTGACTAAGGGAGGCTATTCTGCTAGTGTCCAGAGTTGGGGGGAAATGAATAACTTGACCGTGAGAGCAAGGAAATTCTTGTTTGTTTCCGTGAGCCTTTGTGCTCCGCTCTCTCCCCCTTCCTATATGGTTGCTCACCCAGGAGACATTGACCCTTGGTTAGGTCGGTTGACCCTGTCAGATAATTACACAATTTCTTTTAAGTAAAGTTATACTGAAATCTAGTGGGGCCTCAGCATGCGTTATCTTGAACTGCCCATGGTAACAGGGAAGCTAGGAAGGGCCTGTAGAACTGGGGGCAGGTACTCCTACCTCCGTCTCTACCCTCAGTAAAAGACTGACTCGGCGTAGTCCAAATTTAAATTTAACCCAGTCTGAAGTTGATGGATTGAGGGGGGCACACGGGACAACGACACAGTAGTAAATTTGTGCGTAAATACAGCTACATTAATTAAAACATTGTTTCAAGCCAACACTGTTTGACCACATGTTAATAATTCACAGTTTAGAGTTAAGCTATTGCTGGTCTATCTTGTTCTCCCTTGCTGTGGAAATCTAGAAGATTAAAACGTCTAGGGAATACCGGACATGCAGGAATGCTGGGCACTTATAAGACAGCTTTCTCTCACTGCAGAGCTGAGGCCTTGGTAGATCCTGGCATACGAAGTCTTCCGCTGGTGGGTTTGCTGGCATAGAAGTCATGAGACTGAAGTACAGTCCAGTGTTCTGCGAATGGGAGAAGCAAATCAAACCAGTGTGCAGGAATATCTGGGAGGGTTGAAATCGCATCAGGGAAAACCATCATTTCCATGTCAGATTGGATTGCTTGAAGGGTGGCTCCCTCTGGGCTGGAGCGATGGCTCTGTGGTTAAGAGCAATAATGGCACAGAGGACCCAAGTTGTGTCCCCAGCGCCCACATCAGGTAGCCCACTGTAACTCCAGTTCTGGGGAGTGACACCCTCTGTAGGTATTTATACGTTGCCTTAGTTGGGGTTTCTTTATCTGTGATGAAACACCATGACCAAAAGCAACTTGAAGAGGAAAGGGTTTATTTTGCTTACACTTCCGGGTCACACAGTCCATCACAGAGGCGAGTTAGGCAGGAAGCTGGAGGCTGGCGCCATGGAGGAAAGCTGCTTCCTGGCTTACACAGCCTGCTTTCTTTAACTAAGTATTGCTGCTCATACAGTGGCTACTGTGGGAAGATAGAGAGTGGGGTGCGTGAGTGTATTTCATATGGGAAAGTCCATGTCTGTGGATGTGCGCGCGCGCGCGTGTGTGTGTGTGTGTGTGGTTACAGTGCCTACAGCATGCATTTTGAAAAGAAGGGTGTACATTTAAGTGCACGAGTGATAAGATTAGTAAGTAATGGATAGCTTCCAGGTTTTCTTTTTCTTCGTGAGGCAAACTAGAATTTTCTGGAACCCAGCAGTTCTGTTTTATATTTTAAAACCCCAAGATACATGTATTTATTCACAAGTATACATAAGTTTGAAATGATCTAAAAGTCCATTAGGAAGAGTTAAAATATAAAATAAAATAACCGTGCCACCTTTAAATTCAGGCTAGTCTTGGCAATGTGGCAGGATCCTACCCAGAGGGTCAGGAGTGTTTGAGAATTCATTGAAAAAACAGCATAGGTCCTAGTGGCATCCTTTTTGTTCATGCTTGTCCTTGGAGGTAGATGTTAGTAAAAGTTTTTAATTGCGAATGCAACCTGTTGGGGTTTTGTGCTGTTTGTTATATTGATGCTCGGGTGTGGTCAGAATGCTCTGAGGCTGAGGTTTGGGGTGTATAATGGAAAGGAAGTCTAGTTTTTGGAATTTGGCATCCAAATTTAATGTTCACATTCTTGTTTTCATCCTCTCTCCCCCTGACCTCCTCCCCACTCCACCCCAGGATGTTGCTGCAGACTGTGAAGTGAAATGCATGCCAACCTTCCAGTTTTACAAAAAGGGTCAAAAGGTATGTCTGTCTGACTTTAAAACGTCAACCTGAACTGGGTATAGTGTCATGCACCTTTAATCCCAGCACTGGCTAGGCAAAGGCAGACACCGATGGAGTTTGAGGACAGCCAGAGCTACACAGAAACTGTCTTCAAAAACTGCCGGGTTCTGGGGGTGGTAGTGGTGGCACAGCCTTTAATCCCAGCACTCGGGAGGCAGAGGCAGGTGGATGTCTTTGAGTTCCAGGCCAGCCTGGTCTACAGAGCAAGTTCCAAGAATACACAGAGAAACCCTGTCTTGAAAAGTAAAATCAAAACAAAACTGGAGCTGGGTTCGGTGGCACACACTTGGAATCCCCACTTTGGGAATAATCTGAAAGTTTGCTGCAAGTTCAGGTCAGCATGGACCACAGAGTAAGACCCTATTTCCAAAAATAGAAAGGAAAAAAATTACCCGGTGAGCCAAAGAATGTGTGGCGTAAACGCAGAAATAACTAAGGTGACTCACTGGGAAGATGTGTGTCGCCATTTTCTATTTCGTGGCTGTACAGAGCCTGGCTCATTCTGGTGGTCAGGAGGCCAAGGTAGGAGGATTGCTGCAAGTTTGAGGTTAGGCTAGGATACATTGTGAGTTGCAGACTAACCTGGGTTACAAAGGGAGACCACATCTCAACCAAAACCAGAAATAACACTGAGGAAAAAGAAAGTGCAGTGCACGTACAGAAAACATTGCCATGACTTACACAGGAGAAGTAGGTCACTGCTCTCTACCTCAGAATGACAGGGCTGACTGATGTTGGAAGGCTGAGGCACAAGGACAGCCTGGGGACCAGAAAAGACCTTGTCTCCCAAAACAAAAAAAAAGACATTGTCTTCCTGGACCTTTATGCATAATGCAGTGCCTAACTGAAAGTCATTCTCTGTTAAAGACCAATCACTATCCATAGCTAGTTCATCATTCCTGTCTCAAAGCACACTTCCTAGGACATTAGCGGGTCATTTGTTCTTACTAAGGTGGGGGGGATTACACTGGAGTCTTTTGGCTTTTCTCCAAACTTGCTTATTTTTGCTGTTTTGTCTTTTGTTTGTGGTTTTTGTTTGTTTAAACTATTATTCAAGAAAGTCTTAAGTAACACCACACACATACACACGCACACATGTATGTTTTTTGTTCCATGACGGCAGCTTCTGTACAGGGTAATGGCACTGTTCTCGCTAATGTCTGTTTCGTCTCTTAACAGGTGGGTGAATTCTCGGGCGCTAACAAGGAAAAGCTTGAAGCCTCTATTACTGAGTTTGCCTAATCATGCTCTGGAAAGCATAACCAGCCACCAGCTGTTTAAAACCTGTAGCTTTTTTAATTTTCAAAAAAATATGAAGTGTGGAGAACCTATACCCAACTGCCATCTGATTATATATAAATGACAATAAAATATTAATTCTGCCCTTTTTAAAACTGTCTGGTGTCTTTTAGTACACGTGAGAAATAGCCTGATCTAATCACCTTATTTTTGGTAACATTTAGCCTCTGTTTTTTTTTTTTTTTTTTGTTATTGTTTGTTTTACTGTTAAAAAGGGAGGAGCCTGGAGAGATGGCTCAGTGGTTAACAGCATTAGCTGTTCTTGCAGAGGACCTGGGTTTACTTCCCAGCATTCACATGGTGGCTAACCACCTGTTACTTCAGTTCCAAGGGATCTGATGTCCTGGCCTCCCTGGGCACCAGGCAGGCATGCAGTACATATGTATTCATACATGCAAGTAAAACAGCACATTTAAAAAAATCTTAAGAAAAAAGTTTTAGAAATACATAGTTCTAGAAAAAAAATGTCTTATTAATGCAGTTACGTTAAAGTGTTTAGGGGTTTTGTTCTTTTACTTTAGTGAACAGAAAAACTCTAGTTGATGGACTGTGTGATCCTGACCATGAGGATGACTGATAGTTCACTTGTGATGAACTACATGAACTATCATGGTGACTGACCTTTAAAAAGTCTTGTTTTCGTGGTGGTGTATGCCTATGGGCCTCATGAAACTGTATACATACATGGAGATTCCATACTGAGTAGAAAAGTGGAAATGATTTGGAAACCCTTGTTCCATCGTAAACAGCAAGGAAAGGGGGACTGCCTGACACAGTTTTCAGGTTCATAATGAAAGACAGGGTTCTCAGCCTTATGCTAAGCATCCCATTAATCTTTGCAGTAACCGTTGATATAGATGCTGTAGCTCCCAGTCACCAGTGAAGACAGGCATAACAAGGATTAATGTTCCCAGCATCCCAGTCAGTAGGATTTGACCGCAGAATACATCGCTCTTAGTAGCAATCCAGGAACATTGTGTGGTAATGGTTGGGTCTAGATTTCTTGCCTCTAATAAAACGACCATGATGAACTTGGAATCTATGATTGACTGGGGTAGCGTGTGTTATGTCCAAGGCACTTTGGGCTTGACATATGGCTGTAAATAAGACCTTGAGCATACTGCTTACACAGCAGAGAAGGCAAACTAGTCAAGGGGCTATGTAGGGTGCGTTTTGTGAGGCAGAAGGAACCAGGAGACTGGCCACAGTCATTGAGTAACGGTGAGACCTGCTCTGGATCGGGTGGCTGGGCTAGGGTTCTGTGAGATGGCGGAGCTGAAACTTGATAGATGAAAAGGACTCCGACTGCCAAATGCCAGGGAGTCGGCTTTCCAAATGAGAACACCAGGCACAAAGGGTCCAAGGTGAAGAAGGTGGTGCAGAAACCATCAAAGCCATGAAAGGAAGACGGAGTAGCAGAACTCAGTCATCCCAGGCTTCACCCGTGTGGGTGATGGGAAGCCGCTGGACGATGATGATAACTTGTGTGACCGTAAAAAAGGTTCATTTGGCATGAGAAACAGATTTGAAAATGAAAGCCAGGTGGACCTCTGTGTAAAGATAAAAAAAGACACTTTCGGGAGTTGTGGGGTCTGCGTAAAGATAAAAAAGACACTTTGGGAGTTGTGGGGAGGCTGTAGGGGTGGAAACGAGCAGGACGAGGACTCCGGAGAGTAGGACCCACGAAGGCACCCTCACTCTCTTAAACACCTGGGGTTCTGTGTCTTGAGAGGAGGGTCTGAGCAAACACAGAGGAAATGAAATCCAGGAACTCCAGGTTGTACATGCAAATGAAAAAGCTCGGAGCGCTGTTGAGTGCTTACTTAGCATTTACTGTGCAGAGCAGCACTAGGCACAGAGCTATATCCCTGCCCTAACACAGACGTTGGACGACACCAGGGACTGTAAGACATGATGTAGCTGCCCTTTAGGAACATTGTTGCATCCTCCGCCCATGGGGGTCTGTTGACCAGCTTGTGACTAGGAGCTTCTAGCAAAACACTTCTGGTCCCCTCCTCCCAGTAAGGCCTGCATGCAAGTTCCTGTTTTCTGTCTATCCTTATGGTCTAAATGCTAATTCCTGTTTTTGGCCCACCCTTTGCTAGAGTGCCCTGGGAACATAGGCTTCTGACCTTGGCGGTTTTCCACCATGCCTGCCACTGGTATATAAGGCTCCACTCTTGTAAAAATAAACGCCATTCTCCTTGCAAGAATGAGCCACTGTATTTGTCTTCATTTACATCCTTAGCCCTTAGTGTAGCTGTACCCGAGAACACCGCCTGCTCGCTATAGGAACGTTTGGAAGAAATCAAGGAAGAGAGTCCAGAGTGGAGATGAAGCCTAAAGAACCCTAACAGTTGGAGATGGGGGTGGGCACAGAATAGAAAGAAACAAGGGAGACTTCCAGGTGGCCGGGGTAGAAAGGGGACCAAGTGATTTGGAACAGTGAGGAGGAGTAATCTTGATGGGTATAGGTGTGGTGGGCAGAGCAGGGAGGGAAGACAGACTTTTTTTTCCTAATTATTACATTTATTGTTCATTTTGTATGTTCCAATCCCAGTACCTCCTCCTTCCCTTCCCCTCTTCCCATCTGCTCCACAGAGAGGGTAAGGTCTCCCCTAGGAGGCCTACTAATTCGGTCCCATCATTTTGTTGAGGCAGCACCAAGGCATGTTCCCATCCCCAACACCCCTGTGCTGGACTGAGCAAGGTATCTCTCCATATAGAATGGGCTCCACTAAGTCAGTTTGAGCATTAGAGTTAGATCTTGGACCCACTGCCAGTGGCCTCATATATTGCCCCACTCACACCATTGTCACCTGTATTAAGGGAGTCTAGTTTGGTCTCACGTAGGTTCCCCATTTGTCAGACCTGAGTCAGTGATCTCTGACTAGTTCGGGTCAGCTGATTCTGTGGGTCTCCCCATCATGGTCTTGACTCCTTTGTTCATATTTTGGCTCCTCCCTCACTTGGATTGCACTCCTGGAGTTTGGCCCATTGGTTGGTTGTGGATTTCTGCATCTGCTTCCGTTTCTGGAAGAGAATTCAAGCTTCTCTGGGGTTGTGGATTTTAGACTGGGTATCTTTTGCTTTATGGAAGACAGACTCTTAAGTGCTGCTTATACAAGTGGCTGAAATTAGTTCTCTATCTCATCCTGTACAAAAGTTAACTCAAAACCATCAACAACTTCACTGTAAGACCAGAAACAAGCCTTCCTTGGTGACTTGGTAGTGACACCTGTTAGCCCAGAACTGGGAAGCAGGAGTGAACTAGCCTGGGCTACTTAAGAGCCTCAAAAAAAAAAAAAAAAAGAATAAATCAATAATGAAAGAAACTAGAAGTGTGTAATGCCTCAGAAACTCCTATAGTGTGATGTGAATGGAAGCCAGATGGGTGGGAACAGAAGTGATTTCTTATCGTATCTTACAGGAAGTGACCCTTTTTTTGTAAAGAAACACATCTAGGGGATTTTGCATCATCGTTCAGAGCAGCGCACACGGTAAACATGAACAAAGGCATTCACTAATCCATCGTGCGGTGACTGGATGTGATGTAACCAGCTCCACCGATCTCCTGTTACCTTGGCCTCCAGCGGTGATGGGCTGTGTGTGACCTGGGATTGTGAGCTGAGCAAGCCCATTCTCCCTTAAGTTGCTATTGTCGGGGTACATAGAGGAAATGTTATTCATACTGAGATAGGAAAAAGTCTCTGTGACCAATTACCGAACCACATTAAAAACCCATACAGTATGATTGTATCATGTATAGAACACAAGGCATGCTAACTGTCCCTACAAGCCAAGTCTGTGATGCGGGAAGTCCTTCTGTGTATATGTCAATAAAGCACTGTTGGCCATTAGGGAAGCAAGATAGGTGGGACTAGGAGTCCGAGGAGGATTCTGGGAAATGTAGTCAAGAGGAGGTGGCTGCCATGTGATCTCCCGGGAGGAAAGGACACATCAGGAGGGCGTCCTCGGAAAGATAAGTCCTTATAAAATATATGCTAGTAATTGTGGGTGAATAATTAAGTCAGAACTAGCCAATAAGAAGCCAAGCAAACAGCCAGCAGCTTCATAATTAATACAGTGTCGCGTGTGTTATTCGGGAACTAAAGCAGAGACAGGAACCCAGGCCGGATCCCATTACAAGTCTGTATGTAAATTAACAGGAGATGGGTTCTGAAGACACATCCTAGCTAAGCACAGAGGTGAACAGAGAAGGAGTAAGGTAAGGATAAAGTCTAGTTTTATCTCTAAGTATCGGGGTGTTCCATAACACTAACAGACAATCCCAGGTCACAGTTTGTCACTGCTGGAGGACAAAGTGACAGGAGTTTGTAGCACATGGTCACATCACACCTGCAGTCAACAGCAGAGCACAACGGATTATAAAGGCATATCTTTGCCCAGCTCACTGGCTCTCTCCACCCTTACACACTTCAGGGTTCCCTGCTTGGGAATGATGCTGCCCACAGTGTATTTGGTTTAATTAGGTTATCCGCGGTAACTGCCATTTCAGCTAACTGTTGTTGAACTACCAGAAGAGGAAGAGAATTAACACAAATATTTTGGTTGTCTTATGCCTATTGTGGCGACTAAATGCCCTCCCATGCATTTACTGACATCTTTTTTGATGTTCCTTTGAAATCTTTTTGTGGGGGGTTCGAGACAGGGTTCCTCTGTGGCTTTGGAGGCTGTCCTGGAACTAGCTCTTGTATCCAAGGCTGGTCTCGAACTCACAGAGATCCATCTTTGAAGTCTTTTGTAGTTGGTTGTTTTTATGCTCTTTTCTCTCTGGGGGCCCACCACCCAGCTCCCAAATACATGCATAGAGGCTTATTCTTTCTTATGAATGCCTGACCTTAACTTGACTTTTTTCTAACCAGCTTTTCTTAAATTAATCTGTCTACCTTTTGCCTCCGGGCTTTTACTTTCTCTATTTCTCTATACCTTTCTTTACTTCTTGGTTCGTGGGTTGCTGCGTAGCTGGGTAGCTGGCCCCTAGAGTCCTTTTCTCCCTCTTCTTTTGCTCCCTGATCCTCTCCTCCCAGAGTTCTCCTCCTATTTATTCTCTCTGCCTGCCAGCCCCGCCTGT